CTTACCTGCTTAAGCGCCACAATCCATGCTCAGATGTGCTCAGCATAATAGAAACCAAGGAGGAATAATCCTGTACCCCAGCTCCAGATTTGTCCCACTCTACCACAGCCACAGGCAGAATAATTGAACAGTCTCAGCATTTGGAGATTCACAAAAAGCAGTGATGAAGATATTGTCATTCAACTGCATCATTTCAGAAGACCACAGGATTTTCCAGGTCCAGACCCTAGCACCACAGTGGACTGTCTCATCAGGTGCTGAGCTTCGTGTATATTCCAATGACTGAGGCAAGTTTCTGTGCTGAATGAGAACAATGTTTTTTTCTTTGTTCAGTGATGATTTTGGTGCTTGGGCACTATGTATAATACAGTCATCAGCCTCTGATATTGAAGGTTAGGAATCTTCAAAGCCTTTATAGAGAAGGCTTTGGAAATTCAGGAAGTCCAGAGGAATGCTGCAGGCACAAACTAAGGTCATCTCAAAAGTGAGTGCAATTATTTGGTCTGATCAATCTATGCCATGAAATCCCATGTATCTTCAAGGTAGGTAGCTCATCTTTGCACAAGGGACGCACCCAAGAAATATAATGAAATTCTACAGGCAGGATGTACATCCAGTTGAAGAAGTAGATAGCAGCTCTAAGGTTGTTATTACTGTTAACCAGCAGCAGCTTTCGGAAGAGATGTGGAGCATACGGGGAATGCTGGTTGTTCTACATCCTCAGTTCATACTATTTAGTACTGCACTGCCATCTGAAAGCAACTCTAGAGATTGGCTGATCCATTTCTCCAATGTGATTACATGAAGCAGAGGGTGTGTCACATATGACAGGTCAGGTCTCTCCTCAAATATCCACGTTTGCCTGGTACGTTTTCCCAGGTTTGTTTAGTAGCAACACCTGAATTTCCATTTGTGTCCACAGTGGGTGTCTTGGGAAGCCCTACTGCAGACATGTATCACGCACCCTTCCCCAGCCACCTTCCATCCCAGGTGCCTCACAAAAATCTGAGCCACATCAGCTTTGACACATTTAATATCCCTCCAGCAAATTCAACGCAGAATAGACAATACCCCTGGAAGCCGATTAAGTTATATCCTACCCTATCATTTCAAAAGAGCACATACTGGTTAGAAAACATGCCCTAATGAGTCAGCTTATCCTTGTGTGCCAGGATTATACCTAACAACTCTGAAATATTATGTCACCTGCCACATTCCTATGAGACTTTATAGTGAGTATTGAACTGGTGCGCTGCTACTATAAAGTCCCTTCATACATTTAACCTGCTCTAGAATGGGTACTCCAGGCAAGGGCCAGAAAAGAAAATTGTCACTACACAGGTATGAATGTTTCTATCATGCACCATTCATCTGTATGGAGCAGCCTTATTCCAATTTATATTCCTCAGCATTTCTGTTACTGAGGAATTTCCATCTCTCAACATTTTTCGTGAATCCTAAAAGGTGATTAATATCTTTGCTGGTTTTCACTGAAATACGCAAGAACCCTTACAGCAAAAGTTAGGTATGTTTTCAAGGTAGGCAATACTTTATCATTAACTTCATGGATGATGGTACCCTCCATCTTATATTCTTGGGAAACATATCTACCCCTGACAAGACAAACATGCACTTCTGTGGGCTATATTGAATTCCAAATAAAAATTATTTTTGCAGGTAGATTTTCTAGAGTTGTGTATTGTAGAAAACCATTTATTATCCCCATCAAGAGCCACCCTAAATTTACCTGTATAGTCAACACTGAATGGCTGTAGCAAATCCTATATTTGCACAATAGTGTGAAACTTTTGAGACTATTCACTATCGTAAGCATTTTTATCCAAGCTGAGTTTTCACATAAGAATCACGTACAGGCGCTTATTTTGCATCAGGTGTTGCAGTTCACTGGCAAATGTGCATGAAAAATTCAAAGTGTTTAGTTTTGTCTGTTTTTTTTACTTAACATCAATTCTCAAACAGTATTACCTTCGAGCTGATAAGCCATCAGCAACTCCATCCTTCTTAGAAGAGTTTTAAAAATTGACAATACTAAAGCTCAGTTTTACCTAGTGTTCCTGACGATATTGCGCAATTAAAAACCATTATTTTAGTCCAGGATTAACTGAAGACTGTTCTTTTCCTGTATTATTTCACATAAATTGTAGGTATTTGAAATAATATTCTTGATTAAATCTAATTCAACTATGCTTCTGAAAAAGGAGTCTTTCTTTTAATTTATACTCAGATCTAATTTTAGAAGTCCTAAAATAGGATACTTCAGTAGTCAATGGACCTCCATAGGTCAGCTCATTCCAGTTCCAGATACACGTCCAAGACAGATGGGATAAATAGCCCTTTGGACACACATATCTCTTTCAAACTGACTGTGCAGCTGGCTTAGTTTTTAGATAGATAAAATAAGGCAAGATTAAACTTACCAGAATATCTGATGAAGATATATCATGCAGAACACTAACACAGGGTTTATCTAGATTGCCTGCTTGAGCAGGTTGTAGGTTGTATACTTATTTGATTTGGGTACATGGTTTTTGCACATTTTTCAAACAATTATACAATCTCAAAATCTTCTGTTTGGAATAATAAAAATTAAAAAAAACATGATTATACTTATAATTAAGCCTAAAGTGAATACATATCAAAGCAGAACTTTGTTGTATGTATGCTTGATCTTAGGCAGCTGAGCAGCCTATCGATAGTGAGAGGATGATGTAGGTCTATCTGTAAAGTTAAGGCTGCTCTTAAGAACTTTCTAGTTTTAGTCAAAACTTTTTGAAGTTTTGTTGGTGTGTAGAAGCAAAGGCAGATATAACACATACTTTCTAAACAGTTGGACAATGAATTCACCTCTTAATGCAGCTGTATTTTATGTATCTAAAAAGGAAAACGAAGAACACATGTAAAGAATTTTACACAGTGCAATTGGTTTTGGTATTTGTAAGAGGCACCGCAAGTCAGACGTTTCTACCTGTACTACAAGAAACACTTGTCTGTATGCCTGAGCTTTTAATGAAGCAAGTAAATCTTATTCAAATGGGCAGGCATCCTAACGTATTCCAAAATACCTGTATGAGTGACAAATATTTCTGTAAGAAAACAGGCCCTTCTTTCAGAGTGCTTTCAATTTAAGAAGTGTCTCTAAAAACGTGGGGAAAAACAGGACTTCCATTTCTGTGAAAGCATGTTTAATTCTGAAACATACAAAGATGTAAGAATTCAAGAGAAAATGGTAGCTAGTTTAAATATGAATTGTATTAATGAGACGAGGGCAAGAATCGTGTCTTCTAAGTGGTTATGACTCATACCTTCCAGTTATAGCATGCATACATCATACTTCAATAAAAACGAATATCAAGCATCCTCTGGATGGAAGAAATTCAGATACTTGGTGAACCAGCAGCTGATTAACAGGCACCAGACCTCATCTTGTGAGTCTTTTCTCATTTACCCTGCTGTAAACCACAGCTAATTCTGCTGCTGCCAAGGAAGTTACTTTATTGTTGAAACCAGTATGAGGGCAGAATAAATCAAAAAATGATTGTGAATTCCAGTTTCCGACTTCATTCATCTTTAAAAAAAAATACTATGGTTTTAAATGTAAACATACACACAAATCCATGCTCCTTAAAATGAAGCTAAAAGTCCATTCCCAAAGACACAGACTAAAAAAACAAATATTCCCAAATCACAAAGCTCTGAAGTGCAGTCACTTAAGTGCTAAAGTGAAGTTTACATTTGCTCAGCAGCAGTGGGACAGAGTGATGCATCCTGCAGTGGAGCATGTTTCTCCTCCCCCTCTAGCCTGATAGCGTGCTTCTCTGTGCCTGCGAGGCTGCGGGGACCTTGCATGACCCCTCTTTATTGCAAGGGCTGCCAGAGCTGCCCTGGGGGTCTTCTGGATTGCAAAAAAGCTTCTGGGAATTGCAGAGAAGGCTGGAAAGTGCAAACTGCGCCTCGCCAGCAAGTAGAGGATAGTTCAGGTCAAGTGCTGTGTTTCAGAAGACTTCTTGAGAATTTAGAGGAAAGGGAAGAGCAGCTATGGGCGAACTTCTGAAATGTCAGTAGGGAAAACAGATGGCCAGAAACCTTAAAAAAAAAGGGTTTTATACCTAAAAAAATGTAAAGTAAGAGGCTGTTTTTCCCAAAGAACTTCTGCAGATGAGGCAGGAGCAAAGGTGGGAACCACACAGCTGAGGAAGTGAACTGCAATGGGTGAATGTGGGAAGTTTTGTTACGAGTAGCTCTACCATGAGAGGTTTCTTTGTTTTGTTTTGTTTTTGTTGGATAGCTGGGAATCAGATTAGTTAGAATTTTGTTCTGCCTCAGTCTTATTTTTTGCTACCCTGTTTCTTGCAGAACCTATAACTGCATCCGTCTGTTAGCTTATATTGATGAGATTTTGCTTTCTTTTGTGCATATTATCTATAACCTCTGTTCCTTTAGGCTTTATTACACACATATTTTGCCAGAAACTGGATCAATGAAGCACAGGACGGAGGAATTTGAAATGAGAGTAGGATTTTGAAGGCAATGGGTGGCTGGGTACAGTGCTGACTGAACACTGCCAGCACCAACCCCAGCAGAGCCTTGTTTACATACAGCACTGACTCCCAAACCTTTTGGCCTCTAGAATATTACCAGTCCTCAGACTTCCTTGTGTAGCCAGATCTAGCTGATGAATATCATGATCATGGTTACTCTTGAACATGACTAGCTGTAGATCATTTACCGTCAATGATGTTAAAAAGTTACTTTCCCTAAAACAGTCATACTTCTCACTTCCAAACACTGATACCAGACACAGTGCAGCTGTACTGCAGCTCTACAGGCTCCCAGTCTGGGGATTTGCACTGTAGAGGAGTTTCTTGCAGGGACTTGGACCTGACAGGAACTGAAGATGGTTTTACTATCAAAAATGACATCCCAAAACTGCTCCTCGCTGGGCTCAGAGAAAGAGACATACACACAGAGAAAGCACTCACCAGTCTCAGGAGAAGTTGTCTTCACAGAAAGAAGTTTGACTCCTTCTTTATCTGACTGGGCCCTGTTGAAGTCAGAAAACATTTCGGCAGACAATCAGCATGCAGCTCAGCATGCATATTGGTCAGCCAAACAAAAGTCTAAGATTATGATCCAGAGGATGCAGCACCTATGCCAGTCTGCACTGGCAGGCTTGAAACGGGCTTTGCATGGGATCATACGCAAGTATTGGTGGTGGAAAACACCATATACCAGTACCTCTGAAAACATCCTTTTCTTAAAATATGTAATAAGTCAAGTTGCATGACTCCAGGTTTAATCAAGTGCTCCACAGAAGAAGTACATCTGGTGGAGTAGAGGGAGTCATCTTTTTTTCCTCTGTCAACACAAGGCTTTTAGCCATGTTGAATTGCAAGAAGGACCCCTTAAGATGTCCAGAGAGTCAAGGCTAGCAAGTATATCAGCAGCCCAGATGTTGCTTTTGGTCATGCAAAACATAGAGGCCACAGTCATACTCAGTGGCCTCTGGTATATATCTTCTAATGGGTCTTTCTTGGTTTCACTCTCCTGAAACTCCTTATGCCAATACTATTTTAACTAAGCCTCTGCACATGGACTAGTGGAGAGAAGATGGGACAGAGGAAAATGAAATAATGGGGGACACGAGAAAGGAAAGAGAAAAATAATCTGGAATAAAAATCATTAAAAAGAGAGAAAAAATGGACAAAAGAAGGGGGATAGGAAAGGATAGAGGGAAATCGATGGGGCAGAAATTGAAAAAAAACAGAACAAAACTGGGACGATTGCCCCTGTGACACAGCATAAGCCGTTTATCCATTTCCAAAGGATCCCCTGCAAAACAGTTGAGAGCCATCACGTTTCTATCCACGCTGGAACAGCTGCTTATCATGCATACAGGTGTACAATAACTGCAAGCGGATAACTTTCAACAGGATATTTCTCTTTGGGGCGGCAACCACTTACTATGCTTAAACAGAGAAAGATCAAAGAAAATCTCACACAGAATCTGCTACATTCACAAGTGCTCCATGATAGATCTCAAAGCAATGAAAAAACAGGATTCAACCTACTGTTCAGTGCCGTTCTCTTGTCTCTCTGGAAGAAGGAACAAAGTTAATATCATTTTGACTGCTGGAACTCAGTTAAGTAAATGTTCAGACATAGCTATTGCAGTTGCTAGCAGAAGGCTTAGTTGTGATTTTGCAGTATTGCATCAAGTACATTAACAAAATCAAGCAGCTTGTATGGTAATGGGTGCTTTTCTATCTCCCCAAAACATACCCATGTCACCTATGAAAGTGAACTGATATTGCTCGAATCGATACTTCTGTAAACTAGTGAGAATGACATGTGATTTGCACAAGAGCGCAACGGAAGTGCATTTTTCCCTGCAGCTCCCAAATTCCCGGGTAGCTGGCACAGAGGAAGCAAGCATGCAACAGTTCCTGAGTACGTAACAACTGAGCTGAAAGATACAGGGTGAGGGGAGTGAGAGAAACAAGCTGCCAGAATGTACGCTCTGGGGGATTTAATCTGGCACAACATCTGAGAACAGAGTCTGCCATCCCTGCCAATGAGGAATGGGTTTCTCCCCAAAATGAGTCATATACCAAACATATTTTATTCTTATGTGCAAGTATGGGCAGATGGATGGGGTTGAGGGGTTACATCAGAGGCACGGAGCCAACTCTAGCCCCATGGCACTAGGCAAAGGGCTCTCCATCCGCAGGGGAAGCACAGTGGATAGACCTGAACAAATCCTGCAGGAAGCACCACAGATACTGATCTACCCTAGCTCCAAAGTGAATTTGCTAGTATGATGCCTGCTGATATTTGTGTATGGAGGAGGCTGGCGAGGAAATGTTCTTCACCTCATATCTTTATCTCTTGATTCCAAATATTCAGTAATTTCCTAAGCAAGGATCACACCTTCCTGTGTTTATCTGGGTCTGGTTTTCCATGTCATTGGCTAAATTTGTTGTGACACGCAGTTTGCCTTGGTCTACAGCTTCCACACCCTGTTGTGAGTTTATATTTCCAAGGCCTGGTGATTTCACAGTTGAAGCTCTGCACAAGTCTCCTAGCTCATGCCAGCTTGCAAGCAGAGAAAAACCACAGTGTGTATTCAGATCTGGGTTTTCACTTAATGGAGAATTACACTTGCCTGTGGCCCACTCGGGCAACTCTTTGAAACATTTGGCAAATGGAATTTAATAGAATTACACTCCCCATTATATTAAGTATTTCATGGAGCAAAATAGATACTGGCTTTAGCTGACCTGTTAATATGACTGTTTCTGAAAATACTGTTTGCTCAGGGATTTTGTAGCCACATCAATTGTACTGTGACTAAGATTTTACTTCTGTGTGTATGTATATATCAGGTATTTCCTAAAAGAAAGCATGGATACTTCTTTGCCTGTATGTAGAAAAGAGATTAAATAAATATAGTGGTTTTGTTAAACAGTATCTCCAAAGTTAGTTTTCACTGTCTTTTTCTACCTGATTGACTGATTGTGTTAGCACAGCTGTTTGTTAGCTCTTTGTAGCTGCAAAAGTATGAACAAAAAGCTTTATGGCATTATATATTCTCCAAAAATCAGAGGCATTTTTTCTGCCTCTGTTCTTCCTATTGATTTTGAAAATGAAGTGTTACTTTCCTACTTTAGGCAAAATACTTTGAAATACAAGAAGCTTTCCTATCAGACTACTGCAACATCTATGGTTAAGGTAATCTAAAAAGATCCCAGAGATCTTTTGATAACGAGCAGCACATTGATCTTTTTCCCTCCACAGAGAAAGCAAACCAAATACCTGGAGTTTTCTTCTGGCACATTCTGTGCAAAGCCACCAGTGAGAAGACAGAAAGAGTAATGACTATCAAGGTGATGACAACTGGCAAGATAACGCCTGCAAAAGAGGGAGAACACAGTGTCAGCTTGGGGGCCAGTGTTGATGGCCCCCAAACGTTTTGCGAAACAGTCATGTTTCAGGAATAAATTTTTGATATGTGCAATTTTTTTCTCCTCTTTTTTAAAAACAAGACTCATCTGAAATTCAGCAACTGAAGCAATTATTTCTGTTTTAACATTGCATGCCCAGAAAGACACCAAGGAGTTACATAATCCAGTAACAATCCCCCCAGCACTTGCAACCAGTGATAGAAAATGCAAGATCTCCTTTTTAAATGAGGACATTTCTTTCCTTTTATTATTTCCCACCATCTGCCATTTCCTGACAGGTGTTTCCCAGCCAAGAAGCAAAAAGGAAAGAATTATGTAATGAAGAGAAGCTTTCCCGAGGAAATATATAAGCCCACTTTCTCCCCATTTATCTTTTTTCTGGCAGCAATTGGCTACATTCAGGGGAGCATTACCACAGCCTTCCTCAGCGTCAGATCTCATGCCTACCCAATATTTAGAAATAGCATCTTCGATGGTTCTTGAAGCAATTAGTATTTAATATTCATATAGATATGTGTGTGCATCTATGGAGCTAGAGGGAGAACCCGGAGACAAGTTTATGGTGGAAAAACATCAAACATATTTTGCTCAAGCCAGTACTTTGGGTAGGAAATAGCAGGTCTGCAGCAAAACTCTTCCCCTAGAGATGCATAATATTAAAGTAAATGATTAAGTAACATGCGTCATGCAAATATCAAGTGCTTGAAGAGTTTGCAGAAGATTCTTTCCTAGGTCTTCTCTCCCATGACAATAGGAACAATAGATTTATATAATATATTCATAACAATATATTCATATAATATGAACAACATTTTAATGTATTTTCTTGTGTCTTCTCCCACAGGGGATGCCTCTGTTCACATTTTTTTTTTCAGTTTTATCACTTTGACTTCAGTCCTTGGGAATAATTGTGCTGCTCTCTAGCAAGAGTGGTGTCGACTTGTTAAGTTCTGTTTCTCTTTGAGATGAGTTTTATAACAGGCAGTTAAACTGAGTTTCTAATAGGGTCTACATCTGGTAAGGCTAGAAATAAAACCACCAGTTTCATTTCTCTGCTACTCCAGTCACTCATTGAAAGCCGCCAAACTGTTCAACTGAAAACTCAAAAGCTGGACAGTAAAGCAGGAACACTTACTAGAATAGTGGATAGTGCTCTCTGGCACTTTCTTGTTTCCAGAACTGCTTTCAGGACTGCCAAAAGCTAGATTTGCAAAAGAAATATTGCCTTTCAGGTTAACAAGTAATTGCCAGAACTCCTCAAAGAACTGCCCCCCCCAAATTACCCTTCCAAAACAACTTCTGTGTCCCCAGTTCTGGAGCCATTTGGTGCTCCACAGCTATAGTTCTTCTCAATAACACCACTTGCCAAGAGGGGTGGAAAAGTTTATCTAGTGTGGCCTAGGAGAAACATACACTTTGCATGGGTGCGGTCTTCCTTAGCATCATCTGCTTGTCCACTTACAGGTTATGAGCTACAAACTTTTTGATTTCTAGGAGGTTAAGGTACCGTTCAACATTAGAAGAGATCTCTGGACAAGCAAATAAACAAGCAAGAGAGTGAAAATTGGACCTGCCTCCAAATGAAGAAAGACCAGAGTTTTTGACTGCTAACTATATAAAGTGCTAAAAGTATACGAAGAAGTCTAAAGAGGTGCAATAATAGTAGCTAGCGATTTTCTTGAGAGCTGAGTGTTGTAAAGGGATGTGCATGCTCTCTCTGCCACATTTGGGGACAGCAATGACTGTTGGGAGCCTCTGGGCATTTTTTAGGGCAGAGTTTAAAGGAATACTTTTATACCTGCAGGTGCTAATCTGAATTCGAGTCAGGTATCAACAACCCAAGATATTTATTACCTTCTTGCATACAGCCTGTGGAAAAACAGTCGCTGAACTTTGAGAGAGAAAAAAGAAAAAGCAAACATTGGTGCTTCCCTGTTTACATTATACAGCACACAGGATCGTATTCTGTATTGGGCGGAGGCTTGAGTAGATGCGTGCTTACTGCCACTGAAGAAGCCAACCAGCTGGACAAATGGACAGCTAGCTGCCTACCATCAAAATTGTAATGCAAGGCTGAGCATTTCCATTGCTTATTTCATTATCAGAAATGGCTCTCAAACAAAAATGCCTGGGGAACCTGGTCTGCTAAGCAGGGGTTTAGCAGAGACTATAGCTCTGTACATAAGCAGTGAGAACATGGTAGCAGACACTGAGGCTCTGTTGCAGGCTCTGATCCATTTCTCAGGTACCCATTGATACCCGACACACCTGTAGGGATGCCCAGAAGAAGTCTCAACTTGATGGGTAGAAACTACAAAATTAGCTTGGTCATTAAAACCAATTTCCCAGTGTCATTTTGAGGGCTAGAATACAATTATGTTCTGTTAAGTCTCTGAATGACAGGTCCACTTTTTTATAGATTTTTTTACTTTTTTGTATAGGCAGTACAAGTAATTCTAGTCTGCTGAATTAAAATAACAAACAAGGTTTGTTTGTCCCAAATCTGTAGCGATTCCTTGCTGCACTGATTTTAAAAACTCAGGACTGCTATTGATAAATGTTTTGGTGATTGTTTTTTCTCCGCTATTCTCCTTTTTCCCATATTCCCTTCCTCAAAACATATCTCTTCAGGTATGTAAGAGTACGTTGTCTCCTGATGCAAGAGCAGCAAAGCAGGCTACAGCCAGGGGCCAGTTTCTCCACAGGTTTGCTGGATATGCCAGTATACTGAATTTTCCAGGTAACTAGGAGCCACATGGTCCTTCTTAAAAATTTATGTGGATTGACAGGTAGTGCAAAAGGAATGGTTGGAGAGAGCTGTGTTTTCTTTTTTGTTCTGCTGTTGTGTAGCTGTGTGAATTTTGGGCAGATCGTTTAGCTGCTTCTCTGTTTTCTTTCCTTTCTGTTATTTTTTTCTTCCCTCCGTCCCCTCCCTCCCCCCCTTTCATTTGTCTGGCCAGAGACCAAAACCTCCTGGGGAAAAATGATCACTTACTATGTGCTTGTATGGTGCCTGAACAATATAGCCACAGCTGAGAGATTCTGATGGTATAGTGTAGGAAACAATCATGCTTAAGACCCTTATCTCTGAAAAATCACTATGTTTCCTTAAAGCAGAAGTTGTCTCTCCGTGGTGCCTGTCTGCTGAGGGGTGATAATGTAAGGATGGAAACTGTGAGCCATCATCAAGTGACTGAAATAATTTTTATGAATTCGTAATTCCATGTGATTGCTTTAGATTTCCCAGGGAAATACTACTGCCCTTTTCACTGACTTACATTATATACTGCATGATATACAGGGCAAGCAGGCAATTATCACAGCAATGAGCTATCCTGGATACTGACTAAAAATGTCAACAGAAACAAATTACACTGAAATACATGAATGTGTATCACTGCATTCATGCAGCATCTCCTCAGGAGAGAAACTGAGGATTCAAATTCACTGGTTATTTTCCTAGCTCTCTGTTAAATGACCAAGATGTGAGTAATGCAGGAAAGACAAATCTATAGGTTAGCATTTTAACTACTTGAGACCATCAATGAGAAATACAGTAGCTAAAAAGAAGCACTACTGAATGAATAAAATGGATTAAGGAATTAAAACCTTTAACTCAATTATCCGCTTCATTCATTGAGGTTTCTCACAAGCCAGCCCATCGCGTCTACTTTCTCTGGATCTGGAAAGTGAATCTGGAAGATATTTCCCAGCTATAGAAAGATCTGGGATCAGAATAACAATTGGACATCCATCGTGGTAACAGGAGAGACAAACTTCTGCTGGCAGCAGCAGCAAGAACTGCAGGGTCCAGTACAGAAAAGACTGTTTCTTGATAAGCTCAGAGAAAGTAAAATGGGACAATACAGGTTCACTAGCACAGGAAGCTCTTGCCTTACTTTGGGACCTGCTGCTTCTAACCATGGGACAAGGAATGAGAGCCACTAACAACAACAAGCTCCTTTGCAAACACTCTAACAATTTCCCATTGCATCACACAATATGCCAGGCCTGATTTTTTTTGTGCTCCCACCCTGTTTTCTTTTCAGTATCTGCTAGTCCAATTGTTATTCTGATCCCAGATCAGAAGGACTACACATGCCACATGGCATTCAGCTGAAATCACAGCAAAGTTACTCATTGCTACAAGCTGAGCATCACTCCTCTGCTTCTATGTACTACACTTCAGGTTCAGTCTTCCCCCAGAGCCTCCTTGTTCCCCTGAATGTTTCTTTTCCTCCGGCTGCCGCCTCCCACCCCACACCAGCCCTTTTTGCCAGCATGCACAGAGTCCTTACTTGTAGATTCTGTCGGGGAGCTCATGCGAAGGCCTGCAATAAAACAGAAGGAACAGGTTTGTTAGGAACTGTTGTAAGGTTAGATGTCCAGAGTCTTCACATCATACAAACTGGCAGACTCTCGGAATGCGCTTAGTAACCCTAGAAGAAATTCTGACCCAGAACTGACACGCTGACACTGTTCCCAAGCCCAGAAAGTCTGAGCTGCGAAAATCTGCAGACATCCCTTATGGATGGGAGCAGAATCCAAAGCACAGCCTACGCTGGGTTGTTATTCTGCTTAAAAGAAGAAAATCCTGAATTAATTGATACATTCCTAAAAAATTCCTCCTGCCAAAAATCAAATAAGTGCCTGGGAGTGAATAGCTGGCATTTAACTGACAAATAAGTGTTTTATTAAAAGAACCTCAAATGCCTAATTGAGACATGTCTTCAAGTGTCACAAAACCCTTTAAAAATGAATCTTTGTTAATTATCTTGGTGCTTTTGGCTAGCAGACTGCCAAGCAGCAGGAGTAAGAGGCACTGGTAATGAAGAAGAAATAAACCTTGCAGAGCGCTGTGCACGATGCTTACTGGCTGGCTACTGTCATCTTCCCTCGGCCACTTCACAAGTTTTTGGTGCAGAACATTAATTTTTTGTTAGCTTTTTGTTAGTATGCTGCTGCTTTTGCCTGTCTAGACTGTAGCATGCTTGGAAATTAAGGCGGCTGTGAATACTTCACATTTGGAGGCTAGCCACAGAGAACCATTGCTCCAACAGTGATTTTTATTATGTTGCATTAAATCTCTCCTGCGGTCGTTCTAAAGTCAAAGGGACCCAGGCACCTAACTCGTCCGTGTCTTTGAGAATATCCACCTGCGTGAACTGGCAGTAAAACATTTATCTGTTTGTACAAGACAGACTGTCTCTTGCCAGGGGCGAGTGACTGGCAATCTGCCTGTCTGTGAGGCCTCTCATACTGGATTACTGGAGCTACCATGGAAAAAAAATCCCTCGGGCACTATATCCTCAGCAGTCGCTCATTATTTTGAGGTATAAATCGCAGTGTTTTGTCACCTTCCTCTACGCTGCAGAGCGCCATAAAACCCCCTCGTTGGGTCTCTTCAAGATTCACTGCTGCCACAGTGCCTGTGGGGACGTGGTGCCTCTGACCATGTCCCAAGAGCTCCCTTGGACTACGTGTCCCACCAGCACATCCAGGGATGTACCAGGCTGGGATACGGCAGAGGGAGAGGCATGAAGGCAGCCATAACTCTGGGCAGGCATTGAGCCTCTCCCCTGAGTGCCTGGGGCTGCGGTGCTCCTCCTCCGACCAGGGTTCCCGGGGAGTACAAATCCACCCTTATGCCCCCACTGCACTTTCTCTGCTACGGACTGATGCTTTGCACAAAGACGGCTCCTACCGCCGGAGCTGTAACACAACGGAAGCACATTATTCTACTGCTGTGAATGTACTCGTTGAAAACCAGAATGGCTGCTCTTGTTTTTCCTCCTCTCTACACCCAATTAAAAACATGGGTCACCTGCACCACTGGGGTGCAAATAACCACTTTTGCTAATGATATATGTGACAGAGCTTTAGCCGCATTTTAATCACGAACACACAAGAAAAGCATGTTCACGTTGAAAAGCCAAGTACTTAAAAGTCAGCAGTAAGATCTCTTCTTGAATATACTAAATATTAGTAATGCTAAGTACTCTGAAGATATACATACATCCTGGCTTCCTAGGATCCAGTGAAGACTTTTTTCCTAAGCTTTTTATGATCTCATCAATCCATCTCCAGAAAGCAGTGTCACCTTGCTCAGAGAGGATGTCTGTGATGATTCATTAAGCAATGTTTATAGCATGTTTGGGCAACATTAACAAGAGCCAAGGAAAAGCTTTTGGGAAGTTAATAACTTGCCTGTCAAAGGAGGTTTGGAACAACGCATAGTACAGAATGCAGCAGGACACATACCTGGCATTAAGGAAACATCCAAATATGATATAATTGCTTGTTACCTGAATACTGCCTTTTTTCCTTCAGCCTGTAAGGAGTGGGATCCCACAGAAACAATACCATGTGATCACACAGCAATGGTTGAAGAAGCAAACTGTAAAGCCCTGTGTGTGCATATTCTTGGAGAAAGGCAGAAGACCTTGTCAAGCCTTACAAATAGGTCACTTCTCTAAGAAACTTCAAGCCTTGTCTCCCAAGCCTGAGGAGAGTTGAGCTCTCCTAAGAAAACCCCGCAAGAATATTACGTAGTTCTACATTTTCCCTTAACTTCACTCTTGCAAAAAAAGTGAACCGTCTTCACTCAAATTAGAGCAAATAAATAAATAGAAAAAGCATGTCAAGCCTGAGACTGCTATCCAAGTTCACCCCAAGTACTCAAGGTTTGTCAAAGCTGTATGCAGGTGACATTAGGCTCTGTGAACAGGAAGGGCTGGACGACCTGCAGGTCATTACCCCCAGGCACAGCCAAAACCCACACTGCTGCCCTGGCCAGACCTCACCACTTCAATAAACCCAGACAGCAGAAATGATTCCAGGGAGGAAACATGACAGCAGACCCCTGCCCTTCCTTCAAGGAATGTAGGAGCCTTCTGAGCCTTTGTTATTTTTTAAGAACTGCACACACCTACACACGATAAAACTACAAAGATGTCTCACCTAGATTCTGCTAGAGCATGAGAAATTAAATAGGAAAAAGATCTCGTGTCCTTCTCTCTCTTCCCCCATCTCCAGTATGCAAGCAAAGTGCCAGCTCACCCTCTGTTCAGAGATTGCTCAGCCGTGCCAAACAAACAAAGCTGTGCTGAGAGAAGTGGTTCAGCAGGTACTTTCACTTTGCATTTTCTGAATAACCGTTCAGTGCCCTTTTTGCTGGTGGGGTCACACACTGCTGTTCTACAGAAGGAGAAGGACAGAAGGAAAGGCAGCATTTCACTTGCTAACAGTTACCGTAGTTGTTCTAGCTGCCTGTTCAGAGCTTACCACATCCTTTGGGTCTGTGAGTTAGGGGGCAGATGCTCTGCATAAATAATCTGGGAAGATTTCCAGATTCATCACGAAAAGCGGGGTGTGCAACACTGGCTGTGCTGAGTCCTCGTTGTGCAGTAAGGAGGACAAGGATAAAAAACTTGGCACATGACGGTGGTTTGATTTGAAAATACCTGCCTGAGTCAGCTCAGTGCTGGTTAGAAGCTTGACAAATGGAGAAAGAGACCAATAACTAACCTCTCCCCACTCTGTTCTCCAACAACTGCTACCTAAGCAGCCTGGATACCCTGCAGTTTGCTGCTTCTGTTTTTGGAGGGCAGCCACATGAAACTGTGTTCACTGGCAAAACAAACGAATAAATTTGGCTGATTGCTCAGAGGGGATACCACAATATAAATCAAAGCACAATTAATAACTTTAAAAAACCCTCCTTGCTCTGACCATGCTATAGATCTGTAATTGTGTTAACTGAGGCTTTTTTTTCCATCTCCCAAGCACTTCGATTTTTGTGTCTCTCTCCTTGTGAAGAAGCTGAAGACATGGTGGGTCATTCTTACCTAATATCACTATCCAGATTTCCTACACAGTTTGCGTGCAGAAAGAGTCAAACCCTCCTTGTCTTACTCATAAGAATTTTTCTTAGGGAGATACCTCCTGTGAATCAAATGAGTAGGATTTATAATTGGAGGAGTGCAATAAAGGTATCAATAGATGCACAGATTGATTCATCTGACACTTTATTATAATAGATCATTTGATCTTACCACCCTGCTGGGTGAACTTAAGCTCATACTGCTTTATGGATTTTTTGTTGTTTAGGTCACAGAATAAAAAGCTACAATGCTTGTATTTAGACTCTGACTGATCTATTAAATCTCTGATTTTTCATTAATTAAACAAAAGGAGAAAATTAAATATTAGCAAGCAATCCTCTGTGGAGGTGGAGAATAAGTAGGAGGTATATTATACATGACAGCCAAAGTTAAAGTTAAAGAAGTGTATGTGTCAATGGCACGCATGCAGGTTGCTCTCTTTGCTAAAAACAATCCCTGCTGCCTTCTCTAGCCTGGGTGAGCACTACGCAGCCCCTCCTCTGTGGCTGGTGGTTTCAATCTTCTTTAATACAGCAGTACTGTTCTCTGATGTTTCTCCAAGTTCTTTCCTAGGCTCCCCCACTCATTTCAGTCGCTCTCCAGTTCTCTGTGGCACTCCTCCCACACCCCGATCTTTTGATATGGCTGATTGGAAATTTCTCTTCAAAATGTGCTTTTTTCTTTTTCTGCACCAAGAAAGGAAATTTTCAGCAAAATGGCATTTTTTAGAAATGGAAAATGTTCTCAAAACTAAATATGTTCTTTTGCATTGAGGTTAGCCAGCTGAATTATTTTGGTTGAGCGTACCAAATAGAAACGTTCTGTTTCAGATCAATTTCACATTGACTTGTCTTCCCTGAGCTCCCATGCAGAAGCTGTGGCTTGGGTGTCTTAAGCTTGCAAGCTCTTCTATCCCCTATGGGCTGCAGCGCTAGCCACATTGCACGCATCAGCCTCTGTTCTGGTGAACAAAAGGTATCCAACCCCTACATGCAAAATTTCAAAGAGTTGGTAAGAAATAATCTAATGACAGTGAAAGAGACAGCATTTCTTCTAGTCTCTCCACAGAATGAAACAACTGGCTTCACACTTGCATTGCTTTGAGAGTTATTAGGGTGCAGCATATGGCTTCCCTTAGCCCTGAGCAATTGCACATAGGAGAAGAAACCTGTTTAGAGGGAACCAAAATATCTTTTCTTAAAGTCTCAGACGTAAACAGAGAATAAGGGAGCAAGGGCAGTCTAAAGGTGCACCCATTTGGGATAAGCTACCTAATTCATGAGGGTGAATAATGAGATTTCTTGCGTATTCAAGCTGCAAGCAAGAAGTGAGGAGCTGGTGCTGTGAGGAGACAGGAAAGGTGTAAGCGTGGAAATCCTGGTGCGGGAGGAAGTGATTTTGAAATGGCAGTTTTATGGGAACTCAGAGTACTGGCTATGCCAAGCACCTAGACTGACTCCCCCTGGATAGATGGACGCTTTCTTTCTCAGCCAGGCAATTATAGTCCTGGCAGCTTGGATAGTCCCCAAGCTCAAGAAGATTTATTGATTTTACAGCAAAGTGGGCTAAGCAAGATGATAACTTACACAAACAGACCCAAGGAATGTTGTAAAACTTTCTGAGCAAATTTTATATGTAATTGTACAAACAATGGAATAGGTAATTCAATACATGTGATCCATAGCCAGATAAGTATTACAACTTCATTTTAACTTGGAGAATTTACCTGTGTAAGAGAACCTTCAATTAAAAACATTGTAATTTACAGCTTTATTGCAGTGTAGCAATAGTAGGGTTTCCATAGCATGTACGTGTCTGCCAAAAGACACAAAGCCTAACAGGATAATCAAGAAACTATGGCTCACAATATATGCATTACAGGGCATAGGCTTATTGCAAAAATTGCAGAGAATCCTCTCTACGTCAGTGGCCTTGGATTAAAAATGAAAAAATCCCAACTTCCTTAAAATGCTTATTATTATAATATCTTTTTGCATGCTTCTAATCGTTTCAGTGCATACTGAGCATATGATATTACTCCATTTTTACATCCAATCCTATCCTCTATGAGGAAAAATCACAGTACACATGCATGCTTATCTCCCACAAACACAATCCAGAGGTTGTAAAGAGAGTCATGTACCTCTTGGGGGATGTTAAACATTAATAATAATTGGGATATGCAAATAAAGTCAGTGTCCTTATTGGATTTACACACATGTAGCAGAATGTAAGTACTGAGTGAAGTGAAGGCTCAAGAGACCTTAAAACAACTTGAATAAGTGGTTCTTCAAAATCTAGGAAAGTTAAGTCAGCTAGAAGCATAATAATTGATCACTTGTATGACCTGGCATCTACATTCACCGCAGTGTTTCTTAGTGGATATATACACCAAAATACACTCAGAAAAACAATAAAATTAGACTGGAGTTGGGAAGGATTAATATGTTTTTGACCTTGCATGTGACCATGCTGTACTTTGAACAATGTCATTTAATTGGTAATACGCATTAACTTGCCCTCCAGATTTATTAACAATTGTAAAAATTATAGCTGTTTTCTCCTTTGTCTCCTTTGCTTTGCAGCCAGAAAATTTATCTTGATGACCTCCTCTGGCAGGCAACGCTACACAATGACCACATACAGCATACATAAAGATTGCTACTATCTTTTGTAATTTATATCCTCCTGTAATGACATTGCGTATCCCAACTGAATGTTTTGAAGTTCACCCATCACTCATCATAACTTCATAGCTAGATGACATGGACACAGAGTACCCTGCATGAATAAGGAGGTGGCCCTCATTCCAGGACAATGTACAACAAACAAATAAGAGATTTGAAACTATTTGCATCTTTTTAAAGTGTTTGTATAGGAAAACAGAGTATGTGTTTTCAAGACTTACCTGAGGTCCCAGGAGCAGAAGTGGTTTTCCATAGAGAGATTGTAGAAGAAAAAGACCATCCCTTAGTAGATGAAGCATCCAAACTCTCATTTTGTGCCAACAGTGTTCCACTTGCTTGTGTAGCTGGAAATGAGACAGATGTTCAGGTAAGATACACCTGTATAAGCATTGTCTTAGATCCTGGACCATCCTTCAGACAAATGCTCCCAGCATCATAGAAGAGACTTAAGGTCAGAAAGCACTACAGCTTCTGGTAACTGCTTGTCAAGAGATGAACCATGCCTATGGAGTTGTTACTACTAGTATAGTTGAGGTATCTTTAAAGCACATCCTAGCATCAGAAACAGTCTCACAACTGTGCCAGAAGACAGCCTAGAGCTCTGATTTGGGAGCCCAGAATAACTAGACAGTCTTGCACCAAGAGAAACATGAGCAGAAGAGAAAAGCTCGCTTACTGCCCTCTACCTTTAACCTTCATTTTAAAAAAAAAGGGGAAGGGAGGGAAGTAAATTTCAGCCACAACTGTCACATAGAGTGATATTGTAAAAGGTTTTAGGGATTGTAATTACATGCAGAGTTAATTATTTCATTCTGTGCAGTTAAGGCCTAGGAAATAATATCCCTGAAAATTAACGTATGAAAAATTAAAGTGTCTTCTTTCTTATTTCTGTTCTTACATAGTCAATAGAAGATCAAGGCCATCTGTGTCACAAGATTTGCAGTCTAAGGTGATTCCAAGATGATGGTGCAGGGAACCATCTGAGCCCATGGAAATGAAGGTCACTGAATGACAACTAGAGAGAATTTAAGCTGTTCCAGCACAGCTGATTATTCCTACATCTATGCTCAAACCTCAGCATAACAACAGGCGAGACGGTGCCTACTGAATAAAACATACGGGTGCCCAAGAGTAACCTTATACTTCGTTTCTGATATAAATCAGAGATGCGACTGAGCTGTAAACTGTTTTCAGTGCCTCTTCATATGAATTTCAAACACTGGATCTAAAACAACTTTAAGATGCATTTTAGTCAAAGAAGTGCAACATCATGCACGTGCAACACGTGAATGTTGAGGAATGCTTTATTACATGCTTTATTCAGAAACTCTGATAACCAGTTTGGCCCCTCAAAGAACTGTTTTCTCAGGAAAAAACCCAAACCAACACCCAAAGCTCCCTATTCTACCACCACACATCTTTAACTTGGCCCTTCCCTTCCGCTTTTGCTTATTAAGTGCAATACCTTGGTGAAGCAGGCTTCAAAAATAGTGAGCTAAGAAAACGTGAGCTGAAGCAACTGGAGTCAGGGGATTCATAGAACTCTGTGATCTGAGAGGAGCTGAACAGCCAGGGATGGTATCTTTGAAGGTCAAGGCACGGAGGAAAACTGTACTGAAAATTATGCAAAACAAGCTTAAATGCCTAAAACTTTCACTGGGCTTCTAGTGATGAGAAGCATAATTTCACTGCCAGATACCTCCAGAAACCTCAGCATTGTGCCCCTTCACTATACAAGCCTACTCTGTACTAGAGATGAGTGTAAAAAGCCGCTACCTCGTTTTTTACTATGGTATAATGCAAAGATCCAAGAACTTTAATAAATCCTGCATTCTCATCATAGAAGCCTTGAATGAATCCTTAAAAGCAAACTTTTTCTCTTTTGTTTTTTACTGTGGTTACTTCAGACTCAAATGTTAAATGTTGGATTTTAATCTGAGATCAATCAAAAACAGGCAAAAACCCAAAAAAACCTCCCTCTCTCTTTAAGATGTATGGGTTTGTAACAGTAACAGCAACCATCTTGTGGCTCCCTTATCACAAGTTAGTAAAAACTTGCATGAGAGAATAGAAAGTAAGGCAGAGTAACAGTAAAACTTCATGTGCAGAGACATTTGAACACAAACACACTTTGTGAACACTGCAAAACAATCAGGTGTGTGGGAGAGATGAGGAGCGAGGCAGCCAGTTGCCTTGTAACCCCACAGAGAGCTGTTTTCCCATGGGGATCACACGTTCCAGGCGTCCTATCAGTCCTGGCAGCAGCCCAGCCCCGGGTGCTCCTCTTGTGTCTGGGAGCTGCGAGAACAGATTGTTCTTGGGAACACGGGCTGCGGGCTGGATATGCCTCGGTGGGGGATTGGGAGGGGAGAGATGATAGCATTTTATTTAATTTTTTTTTTAATTCAGCCTGGGTGAGATGCTTCCTGAGACTCGGGTAGCACCAGGTTTGACTCACGCCTTTACCTAGGGCTTGGCGTGAAGCTTGCTGCATTTGTTTCAGCAGACTGCAGAACAGGGTCTCTGCTCCCAGTGTCAAGGGGTGAACTAGACATGCTACGGTGCAAAAGTTTGTGTGCCAGTTTTTGTCACTTCCAAGACAAAAAACGCAACCAGGTGAGGAAGGTTCATTTAATTGCATTTTAGTACTGTAAGATTAATCCTAGCAACCCAATTCTCTGCAGACTTGTGGCTTTGAAGCTGCTTTTAAGCAGCCTCCAAACCTCACGCCTAATACACAGCATAGGCTCTACCATCAACACATTTAGCAGATCGAATAGCTTCTGCACCAACAGCCTATGGGAACAGAAGCATCCATATCCAGCAACTGCTCATGTACGCAACGGCAGCACTGACAGCACAGTACGCCTGCTAGAAATCTGCCTTTTTGGTAAATCCCCTAACTCCTATCTATGCAAGGTTTGATTTGATCCCAACAGGAGGAGACAGTCCTCACTGCGGTGCCCGTGCTTTGCGCGGGAGCAGGCGGGGGACTGCGCGGGCACGCGGTGACTCAGTTCTGCCGTCCCCACTGACACATCACTGCAGTAATTCATCACGCTCCGGCTCAGCCAGCTGCAGCAAAGATTTCTGCCTGCCTGGCAGGGGGAGGCCTGGGCCCACAGAAAAGCAGCACAGCAGAGGAGGGTGGCTGCTGCTGCTGCAAACGCACTCACATCATCGGTTAACGGGTTTGTTGTCAACAGCTGATTATGTATAAAAATGGTAAAGCAGTAAAGATTGTAAAATAGCTGTCCGAATGGGGCTGATTGCAGCAGCGGCATAACTCCCTGGTGGTGATGCAGCTCTCCCTGCTGATATTTTGATAAGATAAATGACAGTGTGTTAGCACATATTTGTCAAAGGGATAATCAACAACAGGGAACCCGTAGCTGCTCTGCAAAGCTGCTGTCTGAGCCTCAGGTATTTCCTTACTCTTTGTGCTCTAAAAACCCTTCATTTTCTTTAACCAGCTGAAATTCGACACATATCCTCACTTGATCTTAGCATGATTTTTTACTTGAACTACGTGTAATCCACATATATTTTGGCATTTCCCAACAGTACTTTAAATTTTCTGTACAGCAGGCTGTTACCTAACTAGCTTTGACATCGTAGGATGCTTTCAGTAAGCAGCAAATACCCTGCATATAATCTATGCACTGCAAAGAATATAGACATCTATACATGTGTTAAAACCTTTCTTGGCCGACCAATGAATCAAGGAAACACCTTTACAGGGCAGAAAGCACTGTACCCAAGCCGTGTTAAAACATCAGCACTAGGGCTTTGTAAGATGGAAGATTAAACATCCCCTGAGCTCATATCTTTAGCATAAACACACATAGAGGCTCGTCCCTGTAATCAGTAGCCTGAGAAACCATTTGCATTAACCAATGCATTCATGAAAGCTTTGAAAAATCCCAGTGTAGCAAACCAATGCAACTTCACGCCCCTTCAGAGGAATGGAAACTTCAGAGGAATGGTAACCAAGCAGGTCCCAGTTTTAATGTTTACACCCACAGTTAATTGCATCTGCTGTCTGCCAGCTTTACATTTTCTGGTAAGCAAAAACCCCCAAGGATTTCAAAATATATGTTTCAAAACATCTCTCTGCCTAACATGTCCCAGCAGCCAACAATACTCAGTGTTTACCTATAGCATGCGGTAACGACCTGAGGACAACTGAGCAATACATGTTACCATAACCATCTTCCAGTAGTTTTACTGAAGTAAAGCTTCCTTCTTAGTTACCAGTAGTTTGACAAAAATAGAAAAAGTATCTCCTCCACTCTCTCCTTTAATCTTTTTATCACTTTTTAATATTTAATATTTCATTGCACCATGATGCATCATTTTCCAAGAGAGTGGCACGAGATAAATTAGAAACACAACAGCAAAAAATCCACTCTTACTTGAAATTTAATACCTTGAGCACTGACCTTGCATAAGATGCTTGCTCCAAGAGAAAGAACATAATTTTTTGTTCAATTTCATTTCATATTATCTTTGATAACTCCAAGTATCCCAGGATATGAAATCCTGATTGCAGATGTAACTTGCCAAGTGTGGTACCTTATAAATTCTTGTTTGGGGGCCTGGACTGCACAAGTGAGGTCACTCTTTTGAATGAATGTGAGCTATTGGATTTGACCCCTTCTATTAATAAATAAGAAGGTTAAGGAGACAAGTCTAATTGCTGGCTTCCAATATAATAAACAGAGCATGAGGGCAAAGAGGGAGAGAGTGTACTTATGGCTTGCAGAGCAAAAGAATACTGAAGGCAAAAAAAAAAGAGACAACATTGTTTGCACGATTTCACAGCATGTGGAGCACTGGGGACTTTTCCTGAATTTATAATAAAAGGTGACAGCAGCCACAGAAATTGCAGCGGAGACAGGAAGCCCTGTCAAATCTCTGCTGTGTGAATGCAATCATTCGCTGAAGCTTTAAGCAGGGATTGAAGCAGAGAAAGCGATGGCCTCCATTACTAAAGAGAAGCACCTGCTTTTTATTAAAAATCAGGTGTAGTAAAGGTAAATTTTGAAGTGTCATAAAGGCACCACCAATTTCTGTCTCCATCCCATTCAGGCAGCCCAAAAAGCGGAGGAAGCAAGTGCTAGTGAAAAAGAAAAGGAGAGAGTAAACACCTTTTATCTCCTGTCCATTTTGAGAGCAGAAGTCTTGCTATGCCTATGCTCGCTTCAGGGAGTGCAACTCCCCCAGCCCTGCGCTGCTGCTGGGGATGCCAGCAGGGGCTGGGAGGGTGCAGGGAAGCCAAGGGCACCTCGCCATGCCAGCGCGCGGGGTGGAAACAGAGAGATGGCTGCAGCCAGCAGCTAGGTGGTGGTCGAGGGGGCTGTGGGTTTTCTATAAGGGCTGGCCACACATCTGCACAGCCCCTGTGCCCTGTACTAAAGCCACTACCTTGTGTCCCGTCCCACGCCTTTGTGCTGAAGCCTAGACTATGACTTTCGTGAAAGGTAGACCAGAATTTTGACTTAAAAACCACTAAAATTGGTTTTCACAGACACAGTTTTTCTAAACACTACTTAGCGTTGCAAGAAAATAGGAATTCTTTTAATGCAGGACAGTACCCAATGACTTCTTTAATTTTCCTGTTTACAAAGCACAGTGAGAGGCAGTTAAGCCCTGGTTTTAGGTTCATTTATCAACCATTTTTATCAGAAGCTTTTGGGTATTTTAGCTTAAATGAGGATTTTTAAAAACAAATCACAACCCAAGCAACTAGGGACTGAACTCTGGCTGGTGGGAAGAGAACACAAGAGGAATAAAAAGGCGGCACATTGGTGAAAACTCACACCCAGGCCCATTGTACCTCCAGCACCATTTTTTTGGCGCATCAGTGCAGAGCAGTGGCTGGAGCTAAGCTGCACTGGCAGGCAAGCCTTTCCTTGTTAATTTTCCTGCTGCTGCTGGGAGCTCTACCTGTCACCAAGGTTTAGTTCCAGGTGGCTGTTCTGTTCAGGTACCCTCAATCCAGGAACCTCCACCAAACCGAAAGGACAAGGAATCACGTTCGTGATGCGATGTGCCATGCTGCAGGCTTTTCACAGGCCCATAGGGTCACAAATGCAAGCTTAAAAAGATTCTTTGTGGATTTTGGTGTCACTTCAGCAGCTTGTGCATCGGCCAGACTGTGTCCTGTGACTCACCGATACTGGTATTTAAAATACAAGACAAAACACAAAAGACTTC